CAGGGCCCGCCCACAGGGGGGTGGAGGGGACCCCGATACCCTGGCTCCGTACCTGGGGCTTGGCCAGGGCGTGCCGTGGCCGCTGGCACACCGGCGACGGTGGCAGAGGCCTTAGAAGCACGGGTGGTGGCCCCTGGCACCTGCACCGTCCGCTGGGCAAGAGCATCCGGGACTGAGAGACCTGAGCCACCACCTGCAGCAGCGCCCAGCTGACCTCTGAGCCACGAGCGGGAAAACGAGGCGCTTCTTCTGGAACCAAACACGGGCTGTTGGCAGCACGGCCCCAGCACGGCCCCGGCACCGATGCCGGGCGGACACTGGCTCCCCAGCCCTGGCCCCGGCGCCCCCCCTCACCCCCGTCTGGCCGTCCACTGCCCCCGGCTCTGAGGGAAGCAGACCCCCGGAGCGGGGAGCGGCCCCCGGCTGAGGCCACACACCCCGAGGCGCCCCCTGTGCTGGCCTGGAACCTGGAGGAGCTCCGGGGGGACCTGCATCTGCCCCAGCGGAGGGCGGGGACGAGGCCCGGAGCGGAGCCACGGGGCCCAGAGGGGGCGTTTGAGCCCCTCGCGCGGCAGCCGCAGCCCAGCACGGAGCTCAGAGGTGTCAGCCCGCTTTCCGGCTGAGGAGCTCCGCGCTCAGGCAGCCACAAAGCCAGTGGCGGGACCGATGTCCGTGCCAGCCCTGAGCCGTGCTGCCCTTCCCGTTCGCCCCCTCCGGAGGAGGAAACTGAGGCAGTGGAGGCCGGTGCTGCCTGCGCCAGCTCTGCAGCCTCGCAGCACACGGGAGGGGGAGCACGACTCGAGGTCCTTCTGCATCGGCTCAGCTCGAACCCGCACCCTGGAGCCCTGGAGCCCTGGAGCCAGGCGGGAAGATGCCGTCCCCCGGGCAGGGGGTAGGGGGACGGGACAGCAGGCTTCACCCAGGTGTGCCAGGCTCCCGGCCACAGCTTCTCTGAGGCGGGAAGAGGATGAAGAAGGCCGGCGCTGGACAGACCCAGAGGCACCTCAGCGGCCAGGAGGCCCCCTGAGTGTGAGAAGGGCCTGTGGGGCCCAGAGGGAGGAGGAGGGTCCCTGGGGCAGATGCTGGGGAGGGGGGGTATGAAGCAGGCGGGGCTGGCCACCGAGGCCCTTCTGGCCCTGACGAGCATCAGTTCTCGGATCCAAGCTCCACATCAGAGGAAACATCTGTTCCACGAGTCAGATCGAAGATGTAGGCAGCCCTGCCGGCGTGGTTGAGTGGCCCATGAACCAGGAGGTCACGGTTCGATTCCAGGCCAGGGCACAGGCCCAGGTTGCGGGCTCGATCCCCAGTGGGGGGCGTGCAGGAGGCAGCCCATCAATGATTCTCTCTCATCATTGATGTTTCTCTCTCTCTCTCTCTTTTTCTCCCCCCTCCCCCCTTCAAAAAAAGTGTATTTCTTCGCCGCAACCGGTTTGGCTCAGTGGATAGAGCGTCGGCCTGCGGACTGAGGGGTCCCGGGTTCGATTCCGGGCAAGGGCATGTGGGCACATCCCCAGTAGGGGGTGTGCAAGGGGCAGCTGATCGATGATTCTCTCTCATGGATGTTTCTAACTCTCTATCTCTCTCCCTTCCTCTCTGTAAAAAAGCAATAAAATACAATTTTTAAAATGTAAAAAAAAAAAAAAAAAGTGTATTTAAAAAAAAATGTATTCAATTTGACTGACACGGTGCTTAAAAAATTTCCCATTAAAAGCTGGATTTCCAGCCTCCCCTGAGAAACCGTGGATTCTGGCCACCCTGCGCCCGTCCTTCCACAGGGCCGGGCGGCAGGGGCTGCAGTCACGTGGCTGCCATGCCTTCCGCTGGCAGGAGCTCTGCAGCCCCACAGTCCCCACTGCTCCCTATCGCCCTCCCACCCCCACCTGCCTCAGCCCTGAAGACACGAGCTCCAATCCCTGAGGCCCATGGTCGGCAACCTCATCAGTCCACAGAGCCAAATAACAGCAGTTCGACGACTGAAATTCCTTTGGAGAGCCAATTTTTTTAAACTTAAACTTCTTCTAACGCCACTTCTTCAAAAACAGACTCGCCCAGGCCGTGGTATTTTGTGGAAGAGCCGCACTCAAGGGGCCAAAGAGCCGCATGTGGCTCGTGAGCCACAGTTTGCAGACCACGGCCTCAGCCAAACTCGGCCTATGACCTCACCCTGCTGCCCCTGCTCCTGCCATCCCGGGGGGCTTTCGGGGACGGGACCTCGCCTGTGCGATGTCAGCGGCGCCGGGAGGAGTAGAAGGTGGGGGCCTGAGGGTAGAAGTCCCGGTGCCTCTTCCAGACCCGTTTCTGTGGACGGCTGTCCCCAGCGATCTGGTGTGGCTGAGACCCGGCCGGGATCATACCTCTGACCTCCGGGTCCGAACCTCAGGGAAGCACCCCGTCTCCTCTGCCTGCAGGAGCCTGTGGGCTCACTCGGCCAAAGAAGCCGCCGAGAAAGGCAGCCACGTCCCGCTCCTCCCGGGGGCAGCTGCCCGCACCCACACGGCCCTGTGGGGGGGCCACCTCCCAGGTAAGAGGCCAAAGCCGCTCTGTCTCCCGGCCCCTGGCCTTCAGGGGCAGGCCCTGCGGCGGATTCGGAGCCCACACTCTGCTGCCCTCCCCCCCCCCCCCCCAGCTGCGGGCGCTGCAATGGAAGAGACGGGAGAGGAGGAGTCAGTGGGGGAGGGAGGCGGAAAAATTAAATTTTGCATCATCAGCAAGGTTTCAAACAATCGCTCGCCAACTGAAGTGGGTGCCACGTCCATAAGTCATCCTGTTTTATAGACCATTAGGATCTCCAGAGAGAACCTGCGCGGAGACCACTGCTTTTTGTTGAAATTAAAATGTCAGGGAAAAAGAAATAGAACAAAACAGGGAATCTGCAATTAATTACCAGGCCATAAAAATTCAATAATCAGGAGGCAGCGCGGCCGAGGGCCCAGAGGTATCAGAGCCAGCGTAACAAGAATGGAATACATTAATCTTTTCAAATTAGTTTTTTAATCTGACGGGGATATATGGTGACATGCCTCCCCTCCCCGCCAGTCCCCCCGCCCCCGCCCCTGCCCCCACCCCCTTCCCGGGCTCCAGACCGAGGCCAGGCCAGAGCGGGAGGTGGCGGTGTGAGGAGGGGAGCTGCCACACCTGGACCCCAGACAGGGGAGAGAATGGGGTGCGCAGCCCCAGCTGAGCCCGGGGCCCGCTTGCCGGCTGGCCCTGGAGGCTGGCTCCGGCAGAGGTCCGCTGAGCCAGAGCAGCTCATCCGCCTGTCCCAGCTCCAGAGGGGGTCGGAGGGCCTGGGGGGTACACCCTGGGGGGCCCTAGGGTGGTCTCTGAGCTTTGGTTTCCTCTGCTGGGCACCGGGACAGTGTCACGGCCTCACAGGGACGCCCGGTGCTCAGTAAAAGCCCCTGCTGCTTCTATGCTCACTGCCTAGACTGCAGCTCAGGCTGCAAGGAGCCCGAGGCACCGCCAGCACACAATCCAGAGTAGGGGTGTCGAACTCAATCAGAGAAGGGGCCAAAATCTAAAATCCAGCCTAAATCGCGGGCCGAATGGTTTACTGAACAGTCATAAACTGTCCTTGTGATGGAAACGCAGCGGAGTGCAGTGATGACAGCGCGGTGCGGGCCACATTGCAAGGCCTGGCGGGACGGATTTGGCCCGCGGGCCTTGTGTTTGACACGTGTGATCCAGAGCATTTATTTAGCACCGGCTGTGTGCTCAGCTCCGGGAGAGGAGACCAGCAGCCTCAGGCCTGGCCCTGGGGACAGAGGGACATGTATAGGGCCAGGCAGGATGCAGAGGGTCATGGGGAAGTGGCTCTGAGCAGGACGCTTGACTGGTGACAGGGAACTGGGAGGTGGCGGACCGGCCCACATGGGCCACCAGCACCCAGGTCCAGCCACGGAAAGCAGGGCCTCCCCGCACCTCTGGCCGGGTCTGATTGGAGCCACGCCCCAGAGCTGGCCCCTGCGTGGTTCCCACAGCTACGGTCAGTCCGGTGTTCCGAGTTTGTCTCCAGCTGGGCCTGGTCGTCAGCCTCAGCCAAGGCCCTCTCACTAACGGCTCCTCTCCCTCCAACAAGCCTGCCTCCGGGCCTTGCTGGTGCTGAGCCCCGCCTGGCAAGCCCCCGGAGGCGCTCTAGCCTGTGGGGTTACCAGCTGGGACTATGAACAAACGCATTTCACAGGAGAGGAAATGGTGAGGCCGGGGGTGCTCACGGATAGTGTGTGTCCTATAGTCGTCTCCGAACCCAGCCTCACTAGTACAAGCAAGGGCAGGCCGTTTCTCCCGCCTCGTCCAGAGCTAGGCGCACAGTAGGTGTTCAACCGATGCTAACTAGACCGTGTCCCTGTAGAACAGGCTTGCAAGGGGCCTCACCTGCCCTCCAACCTCTTCCCTCCCCAAGATGCCACCACTCCAACCTTGAATCGCAACAGCAGCTGTCAATTATTGAGCACCTACTGTGCGACCGGCTGTGGGATCTGGTGCCATTTGCAGTAAGACTGTGGTCCCCGTTTTCACAAAGGAAATTGAGACTTAGTCTGACTGGGCTCCAAGATGTCACACTCATGTCTCCTTGGCTCCCAGGATTCTAAATAAGGACATCTCAACGCCCCATCAACCCGACCTGCGCAGAGCTCTCCAGTCGGCAGCTCGTTGTGTACCCCCAAACCCGGTTCTTCACTCCTTCAACCTGATTCCCATGGTCATCTCTCCTCTGATGCTCTCAGGAGCTTTGATTTCTACCACTTGTTACTCCTTACTCTCCTGCTACACCGATGGCCCCCTCGCCCTCCCACACGTGCTCCAAGAGTCTCAGCAGAAACGGTAGGGACGAGGGAGAAGCATATCAGGATTTTCCTCCCTGACCAGGCTCCCATACCCTGCAAGCAGGGAATTTCCCCGCCGGGCGAAGTTCCGAGCGCAGCCACCAGATGGCGACCGACGCTCTGTCGGGCAGGGCTTGCAGTAAGGCTGCGCGGCCGCCAGATGGAGCCCGAGGCCGCAGCCGGCCAGCAGTGCGGGGGACGAGGCAGAACAGGAAGGCCCGAGGGTCCGCGTGCCGCCCGGGGAGGGAGCGCGAGCACCAGGGACTTGGCCACCGCCGCGCCCTGCCCGCGCCATGATCCAGCCGATGCCCCGGCTCTCGGTGCCCGCCGCGCTGGCCCTGGGATCGGCCGCTCTGGGCGCTGCCTTCGCCACCGGCCTTTTCCTGGGTGAGTAGAGCCGAGCCGGCGGCTCCCGGTGCAGAGGTCCCGCGGGCGGGGCGGGGCGGGGCGGGGCAGAGCCCGGGGTCCCCGGGGCTGCTGCTGCGGCTGAGGCTCGCCCCGGGCGGGCGCGCTGGGGTCCCAGGCCCTGACCCTGCACCCCTCCCTCCCCGCAGGGAGACGGTGCTCTTCGTGGCGACTCCGGCGGGAGAAGCGGCTGCTGCCCCCCGAGGACAGCCCCCTGTGGCAGTACCTGCGGAGCCGCTCCTTGCGGGAGCACCCGGCGCTGCGGAGCCTGCGGCTGGTCAGCGGGGCCGGGGCGGGAGCGGGCGCCCACCCGGCCACCCCGGCCCCGCGGGTCCCACGTGGCGGCGTGACCTTGGGCTGGGCGGGACCCGTGCGCGATGGGCGTTCCCGGGGCCGGGCGCTCCCCGGGGCGGCGCGCACAGCCCGCCCTGCCGGAGGGGGCCTCCGCCCGGGGAGCCCGGCGGAGCTGGTGCGACCCTCTCTCCGCCCCGCACACACAGCTGACCCTGGAGCAGCCGCGGGGAGAGGCCATGATGACCTGCGAGCAGGCCCAGCTTCTGGCCAACCTGGCGCGGCTCATCAGGGCCGAGAAGGCGCTGGACCTGGGTAGGGCGCGCGGCGCGACCCCCGGGGGTCTGGTCCCCGCCGGCCCCTCCCCGCTGTGGCTGAGCCCGTCCCTGTCCCCGTCCCCAGGCACCTTCACAGGCTACTCGGCCCTGGCCCTGGCGCTGGCCCTGCCCCCGGGCGGGCGCGTGGTGACCTGCGAGGTGGACCCGGGGCCCCCGGAGCTGGGGCGGCCCCTGTGGCGCAAGGTGAGTGTCCCTCCCTCCCAGGTCCCCGGAGGCCGCAGAAGGACATGCCGGCCCTGACCCCTCTCCATCCGCAGGCCGAAGAGGAGCACAAGATGGACCTGCGGCTGAAGCCCGCCCTGGAGACCCTGGGTGAGCACCGGTGTGGACGGGGCCCTCGGGCGCACGCTGGTGACCGGGCCCTCCGGCGGGCCTGGGGCAGTGACGGCCCCACGGGACGCGGCCACAGGCAGGTGGCGGCAATGCTGGCGGCGTCCTGGAGGCCGGAGTCCCCGAGTGGTCACAGCAGCAGGACTGGCCGGGCCGGGCTCTGGCCACGGGGACTGCGGGCTCAGCCACATCTGCCCTCCCCTCCTCCTCCCCCGCAAGACGAGCTCCTGGCCGCGGGAGAAGCCGGCACCTTCGACATCGCCGTGGTGGACGCCGACAAGGAGAACTGCGCCCTCTACTACGAGCGGTGCCTGCAGCTGCTGCGCCCGGGAGGCGTCCTGGCCGTCCTCAGGGTGAGGATGGGGCTGGGGAGGAGACCCTCAGGCTGGCAGTCCCCTTCCTCTGGCCCCGCCCGAGTCCGCCCCGGGCCCGGGTAAGCTCCTCCCTCGAGGCATTCAAGCCGATCCCCTAGGCCTAGGGCTCACCGGGCTCTTCAGGCTCCAGTCCGCGCCGCCTCCCGTTAGGGCACCGCCCTTGGGGCACCGCCCTGACGCCCGCCCCCGCAGGTGCTGTGGCGGGGAGAAGTGCTGCAACCCCAACCGCCAGACTTGGAAACCCGGTGCGTCCAAAACCTCAACGAGCGCATCCTGCGCGACGCCCGGGTGCACATCAGCCTCCTGCCCCTGGGCGACGGCCTCACCTTGGCCTTCAAAATCTAAGGTGGCCCCAGCGGTCCCCTCCGTGGAGGGGACCTGGGAATCCCAGCCATCGACCCGTTTTAAATGTCAATAAAGTGGGTCCTAGACACAACCTCTGAGCTTCCACTGAAGTGGGGTAGGCAGGGGAGGTCCTGCACAGACGGCTTCTGGAGCAAAAGGCAGCCTTCGGGTGAGCTCACCGCCATGGCCCCAGGCCCAGCCACGGGAGCCGCCCGCTGCCTAGAGGCTGGGCGGAAAGAAGTTTTAATTGACCCGCCCACACGCAATTAGACAGAGGACCCCGCTCCTCAGGTGCGCCTCTCTGGGTCAGGGCTAGGTGCTGGGTACAGCCGCCTTGGTCTCCCTGACGTCTTTCCAGGAAGGATACCTGAATGAAGTCCAATCCCAGTGCTGGGACCAGTGGGGAACCATGCCTGGGATCTGACAACGGGCCTCGCAGGGGAGGTGAGACCAGTTCAGCCAGCCACTTGCCCATGTCTGGCCTGCCCAGGTCCTGAAGGAGGGCCTGGGTGGGATCGCTGGCCAGAGGTTGAAGCAGACCAGCCTACATGTACGGCAACTGCTAACAAGTGCCCAGAGGAAGTTAGGCTTTCCAGCACCTGCACCCGTGAGCAGGAGGTGGCAAGGGAGCCTGGAGATTTCTTGTTTAAACTTTCCCAAATCCTGTAGGACGTCCAACCAACAGATGAAGGTCATGTTCAGCTAGTAAGTGTTCTCACTAACCCTGCCTCCGCCTAGAATAGTTAGGTTTTGCTACAACCTGGTGAGGCCTGGTTGGTGGAAGTGCACTGGAGGGGGCTATAAGCAAAGCCACAGGAGCCCCAGGTGGCAACTTCCATAATCTTACCGGCCCTGTAATATACCTTGTTTCAGCATCTCTCAGCCCCTGGCTATAAACCCATCCTCTCTCCCACTAAACGCACATAAGGTGCCCGTAGGTGGACAGGTCTAATTTTGTCTGTGTAGATCATTGGCAAACTGGCATCTCATTTGTGCCACACTCCACAACGTATGGGTACACCCAGTCGAGTACTGGCCCAGGCGAGCAGCCTCAGCATGAGGGTGGGCCACCAGTCAGCTTAGGGGCCACAGGCCATCCAGGGGCCCCAGGTGTTGCCAGGCCTGGGAACCCTCTTTCTCCCCGCCCACCCAAACACCACCAGCAGTTTGAGACTTTCCTGATCTACTTCATACCTTTCTTTAAAATATATATATATATTTTATTGATTTCAGAGAGGGAGAGGGAGGAAACGTCAATGATGAAAGAGAATCATTAACTGGCTGCCTCCTACACACCCCCTCCTAAGGATCAAACCTGCCATCTAGGCATATGCCCTGACAGGAATCAAACTGTAACCTCCTTGGTTCACAGACCAACACTCAACCAGAGCCACACTGGCCGGGCTACTTCATACGGTGTGTCCCCAAGCACAAGAGGCGCTTTCCGTTTTTCCTCACCTAGCAATAGGTCCCAACTCAAATAAATTGGTTCAAATCCAGCTTCCTGCCATTAAGTCATGTGTGTCTGACTCATGAGGGCCATTCTAGTCAGCCCCTTAGGACAGACAGTGAGGCCAGAAGGCATCTTTGTGCCCCCAGCACACCTGGGAGGGGGGTTTTATTAACCTTCTAATTCCTCATCATTCTTCTTAACCAGGAAATGTTCAGCAACAATCACTTTTTGAGTAATGAGTCTCAAAGCACTGTCCTATCTGTTCTTCATCTGTACTTTAGGTCTGTATAATGAATTTAGGTCTGTTAAATAAATCTCCCTTCTTTAACCATTGTTCCCATTCTTCAAACTAATCCTCCCATCAAAAAACTTGTTCTTACCTACTTTTCCAACCAAAATTATCTATTAATTTCTATTATGCAGCACAGGTCAGACGAAGGCCATGGGCCACACAGACTGAAGATGTTGCCTCTGGCCACAAATTCAGGCCCGAGCTTTAGTCAGGAAACTGCCCCCTCTCTGGGCCTATATACTCCTCTCCCAGTCCCTCTGGATCCGGGTACTGTCTACACCGTATTTCATCTTCCTACACCCAGTCTCCTCTCACCTAGTCATTATCCATAGCAACAGCACACAGGGTATGGTGTGTGTATAAAACTTCTGGCACTACCCTTCATCACTTACTCTCCAGTGCCTCCTGCAGTTAACAATGATCCAATGTAATTCTGCACAAACTTACAAGCTGAAGATGTAAAAGGCATATATATCCTCTTACTTTGTGACCTAAAAAGCTCAGAGTTACTCTAGGGACACAGTGTGGCAGAGGTTTTGGTAAAGAGCAAAATGCTCACTGGAAAAATTAAATATTAGCTAGATAACCAGGGAGATTTGACCCTGGCTAGCAAACTTTTAACTCTGCAAATACTTGGAGTCATTAATTACATATAGTTATTTTATTCATAATTTGTCATGTTTTAGGATACCAAAAGTTATTCTAATAGTTGAAATTAACAAGAAAAATTTAACCTCATCTTAAATTTGCTGATCCATTTCATTCAATGGCAATATTCAATGTTAAAGGGAACATAAAAACAACATGCACACAATTGTACAGTTTTCATAAAGGTCTATTTCATTATTGGTGGGTAGCGCATTTAACAGTTAAATACATTAAATAATGTATAGGTGACTGCAGGACTGCCGCATTGGTAACTAGATAACCAATTCAACTAGAAACCAGCTAACAAGTAACTGTCTACATACATATTTAAAACACAGCTCTTGTTTAGCTCATCCTGTTTTGATCACCTTCTTGGAGGGAAAAAAGCCTGCTGGTCACACTGGAAATATATTAAGGCCAAATCTTCTGATATCCATTCCCAGAGGTTGCTTTCAGCTGGATTAAGCCTCCAACTCCAGGGCAAGCCCCAGCTTGTGGCCACCAGCATTAATGCTCTTCCCATCTACCAGAGCAGACAGGGTGAGCTTCACGCCTGTAAACAAAAGCAGACAAGCAGGATGTGAATGAAACACCTCGTGAGAACCTACAGTCTTCTTTACTATGTGCCTCAGCCTGCCTATCACTTTCCCTCCGCCTGTCAGATGACCTGTTAGTGCCAGCCACCAGAGGGCACTTGTGAATACCTGAGCTAGCAGAGAGAATTCTGTTGACACCATCCCAGGTAAGGTATCAAGTCACAGAACATAAAAATGTTAATTATAAAGTACAAAGTACTCTAGAAAATGCAATAATGTTCAACATACTATCAGACTAAAGAAAATCATAATATGGCATCACTGATAACGGAACTGAATTATGCAAACAGGAGGATGCTCTTATTCTGAGGAGACATGCTGAAACATTTTTAGGGAAGTGTCATGATAGCTGCAATTTCAAAACAGACCAGCAAAAAAAAAAGAGAGAAAAATACAAAAGTAAACATGCGTTCATTGTACTCTTTTTGTCAATTTTGTATGATTGAAAGGTTTGTAAAATAAGAAATAAAAACTAACTTTTATAACACTATCAGAAAAACCATACTTTATCAAGAATACTTACCAGGCCTCAGAGTCTGAGTGTAGCCCACTCCAATTAAACTAGAGTTGTTGACTTTTGCCTAAAATAAAATGCAAAAACTATTAAGAAAAGCTTTGGAAAGGAGACAAAATCCCATACATGTTTCCCTATCATGCAATTATAGTGTGTTAAGCCTTTTTATTCACATAATAACATGTAATTAGTTATTAAGCCAAACAAAAACCAGGTACCACTTAATTCTTGTCCATTAAACTCAGTCAAATTGCCAGACACATCTACTGGAATGTGTCTACAGACTCCAAATTGTCCACATAGCACAAGAGCCTAAGCATTCTCATAAGAATCATCCTTGTTGAGTCTAATCTAGCAAAATTAAAACACATCACAATGTGGTAAATGGAAGCCCACTGGGCTCACTAGCTGTATGACACACAGTCTCAAAGTGTGGGGTGTGAAGTTTAAATTTATAACTTCAACACAGCACTTTCAAAGTCGTCCTAAAGAATCAAAACCATCAGTGTTCAAAATCTCCAAATGCTATGTACTTCCTCTAAGAATACGACTGACTAAACTCTTTGCCTTACATAACACCTGAGTCTTGGTCGTATGTAACTAGACTGTGTGGGAAGATGTACCAACGAAGCATCATTACCAATCCAAGCCCCTGCCCACCTCCCATAATTCTATTATTTTAGGATTTAGTAACAGACCTTCATGGGCTGAAAGGAACCCTAGAGAACAAGACACAGTAACAAGTAGCTGCATTCTCCCCCACTAATATCATAAGCCATCTCTAGGGCCTAGGAATGCTATGGTAAAGGTAACAAACTCTGAGTTCAAAACAGATTTAGAATTGATTTGATGTATACACTCCTTTACAAAGTGTATCATCAAAATAACCCAATCGAAGCCCAGCTGGTGTGGCTCAGTGGTTGAGTGTTGACCTGTGAACCAGGAAATAATGGTTCAATTCCTGATGAGGACACAAGCCACGGTTACAGGCTCAATCCCCAGCAAGGGACAAGCAAATCAATTATTCTCCCCTCATTGATATTTCTCTCTCCCCCCTTCCTCTCAATAAAATTAAAAAATAACACCCCTCCCCAAAAAAACCACAGTCCAATCCAGAGACAGAAATGATGTAACTATACAGGCAGAGGTCACATTAAACTGCACTTATATTCTGTTGACACAACAGTCAAGTTCTCATAAGCTGCCAACAACCATGTGAGTTCTCTCAGAAAGAAATGGGCCACCAGTGACCATCTTGTGCCCAACAAATTTAAGAGCCTCAGTAATTGGATTTAAGTTCCTACTACTTTAGTCAACCATGAAACTGTGATGCAGCATTAAGCAATAGCCGAAGGCGATGCCTGACTGGGGCAACAGCACTACTTAGGTGGGAAGTGGTAGATACATTTCCGAATAATCCCCAGGAATCACTCAATGGCACCCAGGCCCCAGCTTCCCCTCCCACTTCAGACTATAGGAGAGCTGCCTATTTTGCTGGCATTGACTCTGTGGTGGTGCCATAGGCATCTACCTGAAGAGATAAGTAACAAGGTAACTATCACAGAGTAATGTGCTGTGTGAATCCTGC